GAGGTTGGCCTTTGTGGAGTGGGAGGGAGTGTTTCAGTGGGAGCAGTAATACTTCCAGAGCCATTGCGGCTGTCACAAGGAAATGATCCATTCATATCAGACCAACTTTCAAAAGCAATGGGGGCATGGGGTATGGTTGTTACCCACTGGGGCTGAGCAGATGTTGGGGCCTACACAGCACTCAATCCCAGAACCCCCGCAATCCTTAAATGGTATGGCTATTATTGCCAATGTCTGTGGCACATGAGACTGGGACAACTGAACAATCCTTACCTGAATAATCCTGCAGCCCACTCCTAATGTAATTCTAGTTCAGGCAAGTTTAAAGTATTTTGCCCCGTGAACCTGCCTTCAAATTGTACAATAGGAATACCTGGAGATTTGTTTCTGTAGCGGTTTAAAATAGAGGTTGGAGTTTCAACCAATAGCATTACATGATTACCATATGATTTGTTTACTCTGCAGTTAGAATTTAGTTATTTAAAATAAACAGTGGATCTTGTGGAGTACAGGAATGTTGTCCATTTTTCCTGGTAAACTGAGTCCATCAGGTGGGAAAATTGAGAACTTTGTGTATTTTGATTTAATCATTCACTTTCACATTGACCCTGGAGTAGTGGGGCTCCAGAAACGGTGAACTTCTCCCAGTGGGTCTGAACAATGGAGAGAGACTGCAGAATGCAATGGTACAGAGGAACCTGGGTGTCCCTGTACACAAATCATTGAAGCATGAAGATACAGCAAGTAATTGGGAAAGAAAATGGAATATTGGCCTTTATTACAAAGGAGACTGTGTGTAAAGGAAGTGTTTCCATGATTGTACTGGATGTTGGTGAGCACGATGTACGGTGTTGATCCCTTTGTTTCAGGAGTGATATAATTACATTAGAATCAGTTAGGGGAAAGATCACTTGGCTAATTCCTGCAATGAAAGGATTGGCTTGTGAAGAAAGGTTTAGCAGCTGAGCCTGTGCTGATCCGAGTTTGGAAGTCTGAGAGGTGATGTTACTGGAATACTGAAGGTTCTGAGGAGATTTTTCAGGATAGATGTTGAGAAGAGTTTCTCCTCATTGAGGTATCTGGAACTATGGGGCACATTAGAGGTCTCCCATTTTAAGATGCAGATGAGGAGGAATTTCTTCTGTCGGTTAGTTGTGATAATTTGGAACTCTCTTTCCCAGACACCAGGCTGTGTCGATGAACATAACCAAGCCTGAAATAGTCAGACCCTTCATCATCAAGGGAGTCAAAGGTCATGGGACAGCTGTAAAGTGGATTTAGGGCCACCATCAGATTAAGAACGCAAGAACTAGGAGCAGGAGGAGGCCATTCAGCTCTTTGAGCCTGCTCCACCATTTAATACGATCATGGCTGATCTCACCTCAGCCTCAACTTCACTTCCCTTCACTTCTCCACGACCCTTCAATCTGTGACTCATTAAAAACCTGTCCATCGGTTCCTTAAATTTACTCATTATCCTGGCATCAGCGCACTCTGGGAGAGTGAATTCCACACATTGATGACCATTTGAGAGAATTAATTACCTCTCATCTAAATGAGCCATGGTCTTATAGAATGGTGCAGCAGGCTGGAAGGGTGAAATGACTTACTCCTACTCCAAGTTTGTATGTTTGTCCATATTTGGACAAAGACTGTATTACTCCCTCCTTTGTTATTCCCTCTATCCCCAAATGCTCCCCCCTCAATCTCTGTTATTCCTCCCTCATTCTCTATTATTCCCCTAACTCTCTTTTACTCCTGCTCACTCCCTGTTGCTCCCTCATGCTCTCTGTTACTCTGCCGTCACTCCCTGTTACTCTCTCCTCACTCTCTGTTACTCTTCCCTCCCTCCCTTTTACTCCCTCCTCACTCCCTGTTACTCCCTCCTCACTCTCTGTTACTCTCCCCTCACTCTCTGTTACTCCCCCATGCTCTTTGTTACTTGCCCCCTGTGACCATCAGCAGTAATCTTCCTCAAAGTGTTCTTGCCTCCAAAGTGATGAGGATTCAGTGAGCCCCTGTCATTTTAAAGTTCAAAACATGAAAACCTTTTGTTCCTTCCTCCTTACTGTGTTCATTTCTGAAATGAGCACATTCATTCTGTAATATCTAATCAACCCGTGTCAGTATGGCAAGATAATCTAATTGAACACAATAGACCTATTCGGAGACAACAAGGTGCAGGGCTGGATGAACACAGCAGGCCAAGCAGCATCATAGGAGCAGAGAGGCTGACGTTTCGGGCCTAGACCCTTCATCCTATTCGGAGGCTGGTCATGTTTGAGATGATTGCATTCATCTGTTTGTATAGCAGTAATTTTAAAACACAGCCACACAGACTGACAGCTTGCTACAGTCCAGTTGGAAAACAAAACCATTCCCCATGAGTTATAATAATTGCACAACAACGTGGGTTTGAGTCCTCCTGAAAGATAGTTGTCGTTCTCAACCTGCTGCACGTGTGGCTATGTTAATGATACATGATACAAACGTTCTGCATCAAATTGATCCAATAATTATTCTTAAATTCTTTCTGTGTTTGCAGATAAAGACAGGAACATATGCTTTCCTGTGGGATATGGCTGTGGTGGAATATACAGCATTGACAGACGATGACTGTTCCCTGACAGTGGTTGGGAACAGTATTAGCAGTAAAGGGTATGGGATTGCATTGCAACATGGCAGTCCCTATAGAGACCTCTTCTCCCAGAGGTAAGATTGAACTCCACAGTCTCCTTCGTGTAACTGAGGCTCTTACGTTTCTTAGTCTTACAATTGAAAAATGTGTGTCATCATTCTCTTGTGATCTGCTGTGAATGAACTAAAAGGACGGTCACCTTAAGGGTGATTTTAATTTTATGTGCCCAGGTTCGTTCAAATCTAAGAATAGAAATATTCAGCCTATCGTGCTGTGGCAGCTCTGTGAAAGAGCACCCCAATTCATCCCAATCCCTTGTATTTTCCCACCACCTTGAAAATGTTCCCCTTTAAGAACAGAAGATCAAGGAGCAATCAGAGGCCATTCAGCCCCTCAAGCCTGCTCCACCATTTAATACTATCGTGGCTGATGTCACCTCAGCCTCAACTCCACTTTCCTACCCGCTCTCCATAACCCTTCAACCCGTTACTAATTACAAATCTGTCCATCTCCTCCTTAAATTTATTCGGTATCCCAGCCCCCACCACACTCTCGGGAAGTGAATTCCACATATTTAAGTGTCTATCCAATTCCTTTTCAGAAAATTACAGTTAAATCAGCTTCTACTGTCCCCTCAGGCATATAATAGGAACGCACCTCTGTAAAATGTAATTCTTTGTTGCCTTTCCTCTTCTATCAATCACCTTGAAACAGTGAATTCTCATCACCAGCCCCTTCTACCAGGAGAGTCAGTTTCTCCTTATTTACTCTGTCAGATCAATGAGTGATTATGAACACCACCTTCTCTAACTTTAGCACTGACCCAGGGGCTGATATGTTGGGATTTTAAATTGTTCCATTCAGCCAGGTAGCATCAACTTTGAATGATGTCAATAACTGCAATGTTAACTCCAAGATCTGAGCAGGACAAGGCAGTGAGCTCTCATCAGTCTAAACGCAGGGAGCAAGGCTGTCTGGCATAGACCAACCACACACCTGAGCTTAGTTCATCATTTCCCTGTTACCTATGGAGCGGCAGGATTGGAAAATTTGCTGTTCCTAGCGTCATGGAGTCACTCAGCATGGAAACAGATCATTCGGTATAACTCATCCATGCCAACCAAGTCTCTCAAACTAAACTAGTCCCACTAGCCTGTGTTTAGCCCATATTTCTCTAAACCTTTCCTATTTATGTACCTGTCCAAATGTCTCTTAAACGTTGTAACTGTACCTGCATCTGCCTCTTCCTTTGGCTGTACATTTCACGTATGAACTACCCTTTGTGTGAAAAAGTTGCCCCTCAGGTCCTTTTTAAATCTTTCTCTTCTCACCTTAAATATATGCCCTCTAGTTTAGAATCCGCCTACCCTGGGGAAAAGTCCCTTGCTATTCACCTTATCTATACCCCCATGATTTTATAAACCTCTATAAGGTCACCCCTCAACCTCCTATGTTCCAGGGAAAAATGTCCCAGCCCATCCACCCTCTCCCTATAACTAAACTCTCCATTCCAGGCAACATCCTGGTAAATCACTTCTGAACCCTCTTCAATGAACCCATAAGCAACATTCAATTCTCCCTGTCTCAATCCTCCATCTTTTACCCCACCTCAATATTCCACTCCTCCCTTCCCTGACTCTAACACGAATTGTAAGGATCCCCAGAGACCAGTAGCCAATAGTAACATTAGCCTGCTCTCAATTGGTGCTTTTCAAGGGATTCTCACACTCACTGCTGTCAGCACCAGATCACCCAGGGACATCATGTGAGATGTAATAAATAACTGCACCCGGCCACCACATAAACCATTAAAGTACAGCAGCAGAAACAGGCCATTTAGCCCACAGGTCTGTGCTTGTCCTTAAAGCCCCATCAGCTTCCTCTCACCATGCTTCCATAGATTCCTCTCTCCCTCTTGAGTTTATCCTTAAAGCTATCGAAATGATTCACCTCACCCAGTCTCTGTGTGAGCCACATTCCTCCCAGTTTCTGGGTAAAGAGGTTTCTCTGAAATTCCCCTGTGCATTTGTTTGTGACTATCTTATATCAATGACTGTAATCTGGGAGATGTATGCAAATGGAAACAGTCACCCTTATTTGTTCTATCAAGCCCTTTCATTGTTTTGAAGATCTCTACCCAGTCTCAAGAAAATTTGTCCAGCTTGTTCAGTCTATCCTGATTGACATCATGGAACTTGGGTAAAATAAAATTCACATCTTGTTTGATCTCATTATCTCCTCGTAAGACTGAAACCAAGATAGTGCACAGTCCTACAAGTGTGACTGAGTTAACAATAGGAATGCTTGTGTCTTATGCACTCGGTGGAAGAAAGTGTTTTGAGTATAAATGTCTTAGAAGTAAATGTTAGTTTGGATTGTGAAATAATATCCAACACAGGGATGATATTACAGTAAAACTTATTTAAGCAATAAATTCCTTCATGAGCCATGGTGAATAATTCATCCATTTATACCTTATTCTATAAGCGTCAGTGTCCTATCTTCTCACAAAGTGAGTCTCTGGACGTTCCCACTGCATCATTTATAACATACCTTCATCAAGACTTTAGGGAAATACCACTGTCACCGTGTGAAAGACAGAACATAGAGGCACTGGAGAGGGAGAAGGAAGATGAGATGCACATGGACGATGCCAGGAATGGGTGGCTTTACACATCAGGAAGGGACTGGTATCTGGGTCTCTTCTCTCTACAGAAAGGGGACTTAACAAAAGTCTTTGAAAAGGTGAAAAATTTTACTGCAGTGGATACAGAAAGAATATTTCTCTGGTGGAGGAGGAGCAGAACTAGAAGCCCTCAATGTAAGAAAGTCACCATGAAATCCATCAGGGATTCAGGGCTAATCATCTTCACTTAGAGATTGGAGAGAATGTGGAACTCATTCCCATAGGGAGTGATTATTGTCAATACATTACAGAAGAAAGTAGACATGTATCTGAGGGAGAGAGGAATGCAGGGTTACCATGGTAGATTTAGATGAGCAAAGATGGGAGGGGCATGGGGCTCAACAACATCCTCTGGGCTTCCCTTCTGTAACATTGTCTAATGTTTGTCAGAAATGATTTTATGTGGAAATAGCCGACAGTGTTCTTCCCCTGGTACTGCTTTCACCCAAGGGTTTTATTGAGGATGATTCCCTTGGACCTTGGAAGATTTGAGGTCTTTGTGGTCTTTGTTTCCTTTTGGAACAAACCATTGAAGTGGAAAAATTAACATTCACAAGAAATTGCTAGCACGGGAAGGGTGTTTACCAGGCAACTCACTGAAATAATCACCGAGTCAGTGAATTGTTCCGAAGTAGGAGGAGGCCATTTGGCCCATCCTGCCAACACCAGCTCTTCACATGAGCATCATCACCTCGTGCTAATCTCCTGTCATTCCCCCAAATCCCTTTCACATTATCTTTATCTAAATAATTGTCCAATGCCTTATTGAATGAAGAAGGTTGCTCAAATTCGAAAGGAACTATTTGCATGGACTGTTCACTCAAAATAACATAGCGTCACATGTAAAGGGCTCCAAAATGCTCCTAAATACACTTCTGGCCATATTGAGGCTTGTTCCTAAGGTTGTTGTGAAATGTTATTGTGGGGAGTATGTTATTGAACAGTGAGAGTTCTCCTGTTTCTATCACCAATCTTCCAATGCTTTCAGGATCCTCGAAATGCAAGACAGTGGTGACCTGGATGTCTTCAAGCAGAAATGGTGGCCAAAGATGGGACGATGTAACCTGAAGGGCCACACTAATGGCCAGCCCGATGGGCGAGCGTTGAAACTCCAGAGCTTTGCTGGGGTTTTCTGTATCCTAGCCGCAGGCCTGCTACTCGCCTGTTTGGTGGCAGCTCTGGAGATTTGGTGGAACAGCAACCGATGCCAGCAAGAATCACCCAAGGAGGTAAAGCTGTGGGTCGGGGGTCTCCCTGGGGCTTGGAGCTGATAGTGATATGCTCGTGGTCAAAGGGCGTCTCAATGAACAGCCCGTCATGGGGCTCCCTGGCTCAGCTCTGAGATTCGTCTTTGATCCAAAGACTATGCAGTTCAAGACCCAACAGAGGAGTCGATGTTTAAATCACTCCCTCCTCCTCAGGAACAATCTGTTGACCAGGTGGAGAGCTCAAGCCCAATGGAGAAGCTGAGGTCTATCCTCCTTGGCATTGCTTTGGGAACCTGGGCTATTATCCCGGAGCACAGAGCTGGGCTCCTACTTGTCCTGAGTTTCTTTCTTTGCAGTCAAGCACCTCCCTTCGCGCGAGTATGGTAAAATTCAACCAATCAGGTAAGGGCAAGAACATGTTCACTGCCCGCACCTCATCTTTCCTCCTTACCCTCCAATCCCTTCCAATCCCCTCCCCTTCCACACCCTTCCTCTTCCACGCCCTTCCTATTAATCCCTCCCTTTTCCACCCCCTCCACTCCCTTCCAATCCCTTCCCCTTCCACACCCTTCCTATTAATCCCTTCCTTTTCCACCCCCTCTACTCCCTTCCAATTCCCTCCTCTCCCCACCTCCCTCACTCTCTTCCCTTGCCTTCACTCAACTCTTCACTCTCATGCCCTCCCACTCCCTTCAATTCCCTTCCTTCTCTCCCTTCCTCTCCACCTTCTCTCTCTCCCCAGTGCTCCTTTCTCTCTGCTCCCTTTCCTCTCCCTAAGTTGCCCTTCTCCTCTCATTATCTGTCCTCTCTCTCCACCCGTCCCTCAACCTCCTTTTCCTCCTCCCTCCCTGTCTCCCTCTGCTTTCTCCTGCTGTTTCCCTCTGCCTCCCTGCCAGCCTTCCTATCCCTGCCCCCTCCAGCACTCCGATGTGGCTCTGTCTGACGTTTGCCCCACATGGGTCTTGAATCAATTGGCAGGAAGCGAGGGCTGGAGCCCTGCAGCGGTCAGTGCTGGGACTGCAATCTTTTACAATTCACATCAATGACTAAGGTGAGGGGACTGAAGGCTAATTAATTAATTAAGGCTGAAATTCACAGATGACATTGAGATATGTTGGAAAATATGTTGTGAAGAAGATTGAGGAGATTGTAGATGGAAATGGATAGTTTGAATATGTGCGTAAAAAAAATCTGCCCACATATAAAGTGTAAAGCTGTAAAATTTCTCCCTTTGGCTGGAAGAATAAGAAAAGCGGTGTGTTACTTACATGGAGGAGCATTTCAGAATTCTGAGGTACAGAGTGATTTCGGTGTTCCTGTGCATGAATTATGAAATGTCAGTACACAGGCACAACAAGTAATTTCGAACGCTAATGAAATGCTGTTCCTTTTGCTGAGTGGAATTACACAAAAAGGTAATGACATTATGTTTCAGTTATACAGGGCATTAGTGAGACCACATCTCAAACACAGTGTGCAGTTCCAGTCTCCTTATGGAAAGGAGGATTGGGTTATAGAGTCATAGAGTCATATACCATGGAAACAGACTCTTCGGTCCAACCAGTCCATGCCGACCATAATCAAACTAAATGTGACCCACCTGCCACTCCCAGCCTGTACGCCTCCAAACCTTTCCTTTTCATGAACTTATCGAAATGTCTTTTAAACGTTGTAACTGTACCTGCATCAGCAACTTTCTCTGGGAGTCCATTCCACACACAAACCACTCTCTGAGTTTAAAAAAAAAGTTGCCCCTCATGTCCTTTCTAAAACTTTCTCCTCTCACCTTAAAAATATGCCCCCTAGTTTTGAGCTCCCTCACCCTGGAGAAAAGACCCTTGTCATTTACCATATCTATGTCCCTCATGATTTTATAAACCTCAATAAAGTCACCCCTCAACCTCCTACACTCCAGTGAAAAAGTCCCAGATTTTCTAGTCTATTTTTATACCACAAGCGCCTCCTGCCCCAACTCTGAACACAGAGGTGGATAGATTCTTGTTAGGCAGAGAATAGAGGGTCTTTGGGGTTTGATGCGAATGTGGAATTCAGAACCCAAACAGGTCAGCCATGAATGGGGTAGCAAGTTGGAGAGGCCAAATGGCCTCCTGCTGCTCCGAGTTGATATCATTGTGTTTGTGAACACACAGACAGGGAGCAGCTGGAATTCCAAGGGCACTGATAAAGATGAGAAAGGATGGAACAAGCCTCATTTCTCACTCTGAGATGAAAAATGATGACAAAACATATTAGAGTGGGATTACAGTTGAATTACTGTACTAATGTTAGCAATTCTGGTGAATTCTTAACTTAGTGTTCTACATGATGACAATTCTTTTATGATTCAAATTTCAAGTAGATAATTATTCTGAATATAATGTTTCAAAAAGTCTTCTCAAAAAATTATTTGATATGGTGACCCAGGTAGTGGAGTTTTTGGGAAGATGATCTTTCAGTAATTTACAGAATCACACTGCTCCCCAAACCCAACCCCACTCTTACCCTCACCCTCCCTCTTCAACCATTCCCTCTTCTTCCTCTCATGGCCTCTCTCCTCCCCCTTCATCTCTCTTGCTCCTCTCTTACCTCCCTCTCTCCTCCATCCACTCTCACCTTCCCACCGTCTCCCTCCCTCTTCCACCTTCTCTCCTCTATCCACTCTGTCCTCTCCAGTCTTTCCCTCTCATTCTGTCCCTCCCACAATGACTAAGGATATTGAGCTGATGAAAAGACTGGCATAGTCGATGTGTAACCGAGTGCAGGGTTTACCTGCCATTCCCACAGATGTGAGGGAGTTACTGGCAGTAAGTTTTGTCCTTGTTGGTGCTCTGGGCACTGCCTTATCAATGCAGCTATGTCTGCATCCATTCCAGCCAGCTCTCAGAGTGAACAGAACCTCTGACACCCCTGTTCCTATCTGTCAGCCAGGACTCCCTGACTAGACCAGATTAACAACCCCAATCAGGGAACTCGTATTCTGTGGGTCCCCCTGGCTGACCTCATTGAAATCATTACATTTCCCTTGCTCCCTCCCACTCTTTCCTTTCCTCCCTCCCAGTGGGCCTCTCACTCCCTCGGTCCCCTTTGCACTCCCCCTTGTCACCACCCCGCCTCTCTCCCTCACCCCCACCCCCCACCCCCATGCCCCTTTACTCCCCCCTCTCTCCCTCTGTCTAATAGAATGTCTCTTGTACAGGACAAGGAGGTGAATCTGGAGCAGGTTCACCGTCGGATGAACAGCCTGATGGACGATGATATGGCCCATAAGCAGATCTCTGCAGCATCGATCGAAATCTCGGCACTGGACATTGGCAGCATGCAGACCAGCCAGAGTTTAGAGCCAGCACGGGATTACCAGAACACCCAGATCTCAGTCAGCACTTTTTTACCAGAACAAACTCATGCCACAAGTAGGAAGCTCTCTTCCTTGGCCAGCACCAACCTGTCTCTGCCTCTCAGCAGCTCTGCCACACTGCCCTCGATACAGTGCAAACATCGATCACCAAATGGAGGACTCTTCCGCCAAAGCCCACTGAAAACCCCCATCCCCATGTCATTCCAGGCTGCTCCAAGCCCTGGGGGGCTCCCTGAATCCATGGAGCCTTCCCATGGAACCTCCATTTAATTTCAAACGCCGCATGGCAACATTTTTAATATAAAAAATTTACAAAAAAATCTAGCATTTTCATGTAAATACTTGTAAATAACTCAAGAATGAAGTGGGGTAAAGTGTATTTTGAATATTCTCAATTTTTGAAGTCAGTAGATGATGTAATGATTGGCTTTGTAAATTCTGTTCTATACAAATAAAAAGCAAATCACTTGTGATCGTTATTGGATGTCTCAGCCTTTTAGAGTTCATTACATTGTTTTCTGATTTAGTGTGTTTTGATTGTGACTGCAATCAGTTTGATTCTTTCCTGAAAGTGATTTAAAGTTGGTTCCACTTGTTTCATTGCTTTGTGAGGGACAATGCGAGGTATCTGTTCTTCCTCCAGATGCCAACACAGTTCCATCAACCAGCTGTTCACTGGGTGAACAGAACAATTTCCCTTTGGCTAAGATAAAGGATCTGAGTTCCCAGGATCCAAGTCAAAAAACTTGATTGCTCCAAAAATTGGGAATCCCCTCGGTGCAGGTTTGCAGGAAGCTCCTAATTATCTGGGGGTCTCTGCCCCCATTGTTGCAGGGCTGAGGCTTTACAATTCCAGTCTGTTGTTCCTCAATGTGACAGTGGGAACAGATGAGAAGGACATCACTCCAAGAACTTCCAGCAAAGCCAGCTGCTTAGGGTGTGCTATCATTGTACCTGAAGCTGAGATATCAGCACTACAAGGAGCACCTGAGTTGATTTGATTTAAAGTTTCTCATTGCCCCCAGTCACACTCAGGAGTTGAGTCACATGAGGCTGGGTGAGGTGAGGATTGAGCTCAGTGAGAAAGGTGGCAGTGAGGCAGTGGGGCACAGTCAGACACTGAAAGACCGTTTCATTGTTGACCGATTGGGTTTACTCTGCTTTCCATCCGCCAGCTGTTCAAAGCCCCCCCTGCTGCTTCCAGTATGTTCCAGTTGGCTGACCCAGGAAATCCAATGGGATCAGTCAAGCTTCCAAACAATCCAAGCGTTCAGATTCCACTAGCAGTCATTGCAGGGGCAGACCTTGACCTTAGCTTTGTTCTGGAGGGAGCTGATGGACAGATGTCAGGGCAATCTCCACATGGGAGGCAGAGAATGGTCACCTCAGAGAATCAGAGGCACCTCACAGTGAAGCAGAAGGACAGAAGACAAAGAGAGTGATATCCAAACAGCAAGCAACCATCCAGTGCTGTGGTGAAGTGATGATGTTACTGCACTCATGAGCGAGACTGAATTCAAACCCCAAATTTGGAAAATTTAAATTGAATAAAACCCGATGCACTTTGCATCAACTTAGGAAGCAGACACAACAAAGGTGTCCCCCAAAAACCTGCCCCCCCCACGCACACACGTGCGTGTGCACATACGTGCACACACACACGCATACATGCACACAGACACACACACATGCATACATGCGCACGCACACACACACACATGCATACACACACAGACATGCACGCACACAGACACACACGCATACACAAGACATGCACACACACACACACACACACACACACGCACGCGCGCACACACACAAACAGGCTATCAACCCTGAAAAATTGCCACGACATGGGCTTGGTGCTAACATTGGGAGAGTCAGCCATTAGATCCACAGTAAGCCCAACAGGTCATTGTTATTCTCCCAGAATTATCCTTTACAGCCGACTATCACTGGCAAGGCAAGACCAGCAGAGGTAGTGGCACAGTGCTATCAGTGCTATAATGGTCCATGAGTTGGCCCAGGGAATGATCAGCATGAAGTCAGTGGGTCAGACATAGGCCTGGGGATTCCTACCCTCTACCAGCTTCCTCCAAAGCCAACTTGTCAGCTAATGTATCAGAACCCATCCTGTTGGTTCATCGATTGGATAAAGCAGTCAGGAAGACAGGAGCACAAAATGACACGACTTCAATATCTACAACACCACATCTGCCCAAACTAGTCAGGTCAGAAAGGACATCGTTGTGAGACTGGGTCTGCAGCAGGCAGTGAGGGAACCAACAAGAGGGAAAATCCTACTTGACCTCACCTCACCAATCTGCCTGTTGAAAATGCATCTGTCCATGTTAGTATCAATAAGCAACCACCACACAGTCCTAATGGAGACAAAGTCTCACCTTCACATTGGGAATACCCTCCATCAAGTTATGTGGCACTATCACTGTGCTAAATGGGACAGACTTTGAACAGACCTAACAACTCGAGACTGGGCATCCGTAATGCACTGTGGGCCAACAACAGCAGCAGAA